GGGGTTTTGCCATGGCTTTTCTGGGACTGAGAGAGTGTGCATGCATTTTTTTTAAATTTTTAAATTCTTTTTTAATTTTATTTATTTATTTATTTACTTATTTATTTTTGGTGCTTCGGCCCGTCAATTGTCTGAGGGACAGCAACCTGGCCCCCGGCTCAAAAAGGTTGCCTACCCCTGCCCTAGAGGATACCACATACCTGTAGCTAGATGATGTTAACCAAAGCTGGGAATTGTTATTTTTTAGACTACAAACTCCACATTCGCCAGGCAATATGACTGGTGGCCACATTGGCTGAGGATTGCAGGAGCTATAGCTCAAAAGGAGGGTGGCTCCTCAGGACTCCGGGGATGGCCTTCTGTAACCCTGACTTCTCTGCCCGGAACAGAGAAGGAACCATGGGGCTCAGGGTTCCCCCTGGTCACTCCTGGTTCTGCCTGCCAGCCCTTCAGGTTGCTCCCTCCCCTCTTGGGAGGCGGATTGGAGAAAGAGAGGCAGTGGCACCAGAAAAAGAAGAGAAGGAAGAAGAATAAGAGGAGGAGGAAGAGGGAGCAGAAATGGAAGGGCTGGCAGGACCGGGAAGAGGACCGGGAGGGGAACCCTGAGCCCCATGGCCCTTCTCTGGCCTGGGCGAGGCAGGTGGGTGGGGGATGGAGCTGTTGCCCCTCTTCCTTCCCAGCTGCCTGGAGTGTACCAGGCCCTCTCCCAGAGCAGGGCTCCAAAGGCCAGGAACCCTCAGGACCAATGCTGCCGCCACCACCACCCTTCTCTCCTGGTGCGGAAGGGCAGCGTGTTGGAAGCATCCAAGGCCGGTGTATGCATGTGTGTGTGTACACAGCTAGGAGCTACATTTCAACCTTCTGTCCAGAAAGAAAGTCAAAATCTCCTCCATTCTGAGCACGATTGAGAAGTATGAATTTATATTAATTTTTTTTTTTTTACAAAAATTTATTACTGTATTTGGCTTTTAGTTGGTCATGCCCTCCATTTTTCTTGAATGCCCTACATTTTGTCCCAGTTTTATGGAAGAGAATGATGGCAACCCTGTAAATGGAGATGTATCATAGTTTTACATCGGTTTAACTGTCATGGACTTGCCACAAAGGATGGTGAGAAGTGTAGTTTGCTATGGGTGTTTAAAGGTCTGTAAAACAGCCCCTTGACCCTCTCCAATTATGACTTGTGCCCTCCAGATCACTTTGAATTCTATTCCAAAAGTTTCATCAGTTGGGACAGCTGCTTTAAAGTCTGGATGGAAACCCAGAATGGATTCAGTACCCTATGGACACTCTGGCATGGTGGTGAAATGCTACTACTGCAGCTATAAGGTGAGTTCGATCCCAGGGCTCCAAGGTCGACTCAGCCTTCCATCCTTTCATAGGTTGGTTAAATGAGTACCCAGCTTGTTGGGGGCAATTGGCCTAAATGTTGTAAACTTCTTAGAGAGTGCTGAGTTCAGCATGAAGTAGTACAGAAATGTAAATGCTATTGCTATTGCTCACAGGACTACAGCAATCCCTGGAAAAAAGGCGCAGAGATTAAGCCATTTCAAGGCTGCCTTGCAAACATATCCTTTGTCTTTCCATTTAGCTCTCTGGATGTTTTTGTCTGTTCCTCCTCCATTCGGGCAAATCCAGCCCTGCTTTATAAGGGTTAAAAACATTAATAAAGGAGAATCAGCTCTGGCACCTGTTCTCTACATCTCCATTTATTTCCTTATAGAAAAAGACAGGAGGGTTGCTTAGAAACTAAACCACTTCTCTTTCTTAGAAAGCAACAGAAGCTATTGTTGAGGTCAGAGCAGAAGATTAAGCAGTGGCTCACAAAGGAAAGCGGCAACATGGCTGGCTTGTGCTAAGCAAGCAGTAGCTAGCTATTCATAGCTTCCATGTCTGTGGGTCAGGGAATCCACTCTAGGTTTTAGGCTGAATTCTCCAAGGCTCTGAATCTACTTTGAGAATAGAGATTTTATGCTTCCTTTAAAGTTCAAAGTAAAACCTGGAGTGGCTTCACCACCACCACCACCACCACCCCAACATGAGAATTGCCAGCTACCATTGCTAGCAAGGAGATTTAAGAGGAAAGAGAGTTCCTCTAGCCCTTGGTAGACAATCCAGAAGACCAAAGCTTTCTGAAACGCTTTCTAAGCCCAATTTAAAGGACTATCACATTTAAAGTTTGGGATGAATGCCATTGGAAGATAATCCTGTTTCCTCAACACAATCCTGCTTACCTAGTGAGATACACTGGGGACTGCCAAAAAGGCAAATGAATAGGATATAGAGCAAATCAAGCCCGAAATCTAGATTGGACAAATCATGAAAAGACATGACTCACTAGAAAAAGCATTCATAGCATCATAGAGGTGGAAGAGACCCCGAGGGCTATTCAGTCCATGCCATGCAAGGGTACACAATCAAAGTACACCTGACAAATGGCCAACCAGCCTCTCTGCTTAAAAACCTCCAAAGAAGAACCACACTCCAAGGCAGCCTATTCCACTGTCAAACAGCTCTTAAAGTCAGGAGGTTTTTCTTAATGTTTAGGTGGAATCTCTTTTACTGTAGTTTGCATCCACTGTTCCTTGTCCTATTATCTGGAGTAGCAGAAAACAAGCTTGCTCGTTCTTCCACATGACGTCCCTTCAAATATTTAAACAGGGCTATCATGTCACTTCTTAACCTTCTCTTCTCCAGGCTAAACATACCCAGCTCCCCATGCTGTTCTTCACAGGGCATGGTTTCCAGACCTTTCACCATTTTGGTCGCCCTCCTCGATACACTCCAGCTTGTCCAATAATGCTTGATAAGTCACGAATGCCGAAAGAAAAGAGGAAGACCGTATTAACAGGTGGATAGACTCAATTAAGGAAGCCACAGCCCAAATCTGCAAGACCTCATCAGGGCTGTTGATGATCGGGTGAGTCTTAAATCTCACATTCATAACAAGTCAACATGACAGCAAATACCGACAACAACAACAATCATTTCTTACCTATCTCTCTCCATGGATCGAGGTGGGGGAGAACAATTAACAAACAAACGTCACTTAAAAGACATCAGTTAAAGCACACATCAATTTAAAAGAACAAATAAGATGTGCACCTATTAAAACAATCGACATCTAAAATCCATCATTAAAAATTCACAATTTAAAAATCATCTGGATAAGCCTGCTGGAAAAGACTGGTTTTCAATGCTCTTTTAAATTCTGACAGCACATTCAGCTGAGGAATCTCTTCCGGCAGGTCATTCCACAGTCTAGGGGTGGCTAAAGAAAAATTTCTCTGGTTGACAGTTGTCCTGGCTACTAGAGTAAATGGCTGCCACTGGACCTGAGTGTATGGGGGGGAACTATACGGGAGGAGGCAATCCTGAAGGTATTTAACTATAAGCAATCACAACTGTTGGGGTATGCCACTCAACATCATAGCACTCCCTGACCTCCACAGCCACATCCTGCATCCGACCCCCTGGCTACAGTACAGTGTGTCCACATGTTTGGATCTGGCTCTTATACTGATATAGCTTTCCCCCTGCAGCAGCAGAATCAGGCTCAAGTATTCAACCATCTGCCTAGGATGCAGGAGTATATTTTCCATACTGCATCCCACAAGCATGCATGGGCAGACTTTTCTGGAAATATATAGGGCAGCCAAGGAGTGTTCATTTGGGACATCTTGTTCATCTAAGACTTTTTCCATAACCATCTTTTCTGCTCCAGTTTGCTAGCAACATGGCTAGCGGCTGCACTCAAAATTTCCAGACAGGGAGCGGCCCCATATGCACACATATGTGACGATAATGGCCAATCCAGGCACTGCCTGTAACAAAGGAACACAAGATGGATTGACTGGCTGGGTCAAGCAAAGCCCTCGAATTCAACAGCAGGCTTCTAAGAGCAGCCAATGTCCATATTTTCCAGGGACGTCACCTCCCTCAAGTAATACTCCTGTGAATATTGTTATTTTCATTCTCCTGTACTTAAAACAGTTAGTTCTGTAACAGGACAAGGATTAATACTGCAGTACTTTCACTATGAGAGCCGACACAGTATAGTGGTTTAAGGGTAGGACTCTGGAAGACCTTGGTTCAAATCTCTGCTCAGCCACAGAAACCCACTGGATAAGTCATGCTCTCGCAAATTAAGAGGAAGGCGATGGTAAACCTCCCCTGGATAAATCTTGCCAAGGAAACCTCAAGATACGGTCACTAGAAGTCTGAGGTGGTGTCTGCATGAAAGAAAAGAAACGTTCTCTCCCCTTTTCCCGCACTGACCTATTTAGATGATGCATGGGGCCAAAATAGACAGCTTACGGGCCCAATCCACACTCCAGGGTGATTATTCAGAGTAAATAAGAGTCTCCTTTTGCTCCAGATCAGTGAAGAAATTCCAGAAAATTCCCAGGGTTTGCAGATTGCATGTTGGTGCGGGGCCTGGGGGGGGGGATGTCAGCAGGCAGGGAACCTGCTGACCTCTTCTTGCCCAAAACTTCCAACTCCTCACCAAGGTGTGAGTTTGCACAGTCCCTCACAATGCCATTATTTTTGCAGACGTGCAAACTGACCCAACAAGTGCACATAAGCAGAACAATACTTTCAATACAGTGCACTGTTGCTAATTGATCACACAAGCACACATTAGTACAACAATACCATAAGTACAGCACCCTGATGCTCAACAGCATGGCCACTGTCCCCACAAGTCATGGAAAGAGAAGGAGAGGGGTCTCCTGAGGAGTGTGCCCACAGTACTGCTAGTATCGGCCCATTGTGGGTGCTGGTTGTATGGACAGCATGTACTCTCTGCAGAGCTGGAATCCCCAACAGTAAGCTGGGTTTCTCATCAGTGCGGACACAGTTCAAGTTGATTTGGAGGTACCTAGTAATAAAGCTCCATTATCTCACTGGACTTTATGCCAGCCACCCAAGCAGGGCATCTAAGTCTATAACATTTTCTTAAATTACTGGCATAAGAGACTTCCTGCCTCAACCATGGGTGCAAATTATAACTCAGTGGCAGAGGACAAGCTTTGTATGCAGAAGGTTCCAGGTTCAATCCCTGCCATTTCCAGTAATTAAAAAAAAACAACCCATAACCCTCCACTCTCTGGAGCGCTGGTGAGCCATGGCTGGTTGGAGTGAAAAGGCGAAGGTGGAGAAAACACTCTGATCTGGTGTAAAGTAGCTTCTTATATCCTGTTCCAGAAGGACACTTTCAATATGTGTGCAAATGTTTGTGTAAATGTGCAAAGCCATAGCCGCATTTCATGGTTCTAGCAGTTTTATACCACTTCAACTGGCATAGCTCCATCCTATGGAATCATGGGATGTGTAAATTGGTGAGGTCTTTAGTCGTATTATCTAAAACATTCCCCTGAACAGGAGGACAATAATCTGGCCCAGAATTCTAGGTACCTCATGAATCTTCAAATCCCAGGATTCCATAGGAAGGAGCCACAATCTGTTATAACTGTGTAGAGTGGATACACTACAGGAAACTAAGGGCTTTCAATACATGGGTGTTTTACCTCGAGTTCTCCCCAGGTTCACTGCATCCTGCTTACGTCCTGCCAAAATCCCAAAATGAGTCCGGACTGTCTTCACAACAGCTGCACCTGATTCGGGCTTTCTCCTCCTAAACCATATTTTAAAAACTCACGTTTTATTGTGGGTTTCTGGCTCTCCTCCAATGACGGTGGTGGCTCCCTTTACATGTGTTTGGTTTTTTAACTCCTATTTGATTTAATATTCTTTTAAGAGGGGTAGGGATAGGGTTGGGATGTATTGTACTTTTAACTATTGTGAGCCACCCTGATTGATCTCAGAGGGGCGGGGTATAAATAATTTATTATTATTATTATTATTATTATTATTATTATTATTATTATTATTATTATTATTATTATTATTATTATTATTATTATTATTATTATTATTATTATTATTATTATTATTATGTGTGGTCTCCATTTGTCCCCTGGTGCTGCTGCTGTGGGTACGAGTCACTGGGCGTTTTCACACGGGGGTCCCTAAAGCCGGCTGGAGCCATTCTCCTAAAGCCGGGTGGAGCCCCGTGCCGCTGACTCCAGAATGACTCCTGCGGTGGCAGGCTAATTCCTGGTGGACACCCGGAATTACCTTTCCGCCGCTGAAGCCGGAGTTAGCCTTGGTTCGGCCGGAGTGACGCCGGACTTAGGGCTCCGTGTGTTTGAACACACGGAGCGAAAAGCCGGACGGATGCAGGGATGGCACCGGAAGGGGTGGGGTTTTCCGCCGCGCGCGTCTGAACAACCTGGAAATGGAGCCGGAGTGAGGCCAGGCGGAGGTAGGATTGCCTCCTAAAAAAGCCCCGTGTGAAAACGTCCAGTGTAGTCAGAAGAAGGTGCCCAGAGTCAATAGCATGGCTGGGTGCCTCATCCTGATCTCACCAGCGGTACCAGGCAACAAACAGGGACCGCATGGAAAGGCAGCTGCCCATTGTCACTAGGAAGAGAGTTGAAGGTAAGGAGCAAATTCAGGGGAAATATAGGGGCCAAAATACTCCGGGGCCAGCCCAGAGTATTCTGGAAAGTGTAGACAAGCCCTAGGCTGCTGGTGAGTTGGAAGGACCCTGCTAGAACCATAAAATGTGGGTATCGCTTTGCACATTCATGCACACTTTCACGAACATTTGCACATATATTGAAGATCATCACTAGCATCACCATCTGCATCTCCACTATCAATCTTTTTTCAAAGTATGTTTAGTGATGATGTTTATGCCCAGAAAATTCAAGGGAAGCTTCTATTCGAGCTTTTGATTTTGTAACTGGCCTGCCTTAAATAACAGAATTTCATGAAGACTTCCAGACATTGTTTGAAACCTTACTTGGTTCTCAAATTGGCTCTTCCATCCCCCCCTTCCTTTGGAAGGAAAAAGGGACAGCATCCTAATTTCCCTTCACATGGATGAAATGAAATAACAAAGGAAAGCATTTTCTTCTAAGTTTCTCTTTCTTCAGTATGTTTGGTCAGCACTAGATGCATGTGTTTCTAGCCTTGACAGTAAGAGAAGACAAGGAAGTGGCCTGGGACTTTCTGACATGCAAGGAATATGTTCTGCCACAGAGCTAGCCATTTTGCAGTTGACAGGAGGACTTCTCCAAGGACCATGGCCAAAGGTTTTCCTTGCCCTTCAGGAGAATGTTCAATATCATTTAAATGGAATGACAGAGCTTGAACCCATGGGCTTTTGCACGCAAAACATGCACTTTACAATTGAACAACAACAACATATCTTACGATGGGCACCACCATGCTCCAGGACAAACCAGTTCCTCAAATCAATGACACCAAATGACCCAGCACTTCAATTCAATGGGTTCTAATACAGTTTGAATACCTCTTATCTGAAATGCTTGGGATCAGACATCTTTCGGATTTTTTATTTTATTTTAGAATACCTATATTTGCATATACCTAATCCACATTACACAACACAACTAGCATAGTAATTTTTTTTTACGATTTTGTCGGCAAAATTTATTCTAAAGAATAAAATGCCATTTCCGTCCTCTTTATAGTTTTTTTGTTTATCACACACTTACTTATTAGCACAATACAACTAAATCAAGACACAACAATAAAACAACAACAAAAACAACTATAAAACAACTTCCTAAACTGCTACTCTTTGGGTACAAGCAATGATGCTATTTTGTATTAATCGCTTTTACTAAAAATAGTTAAAGTCTGTGACTCTCTATTATATATTTCTCATTACTATTTCTCCTTCAGCATCAAATTACATCTCATTAATTATTAAGATCTATCTATTTTCTCTTAATGGTTTTATTTCTGTATTCTTGCTCAGAATCCTCTATTCCTGGTGTTGCTATATATCCCCAAACTGAATCTAAATATTCTATCATATCTGACCATTCTTTCTTAAATTTGTCTATTGATCCATTTCTGATCAAATGTGTTATCAATTCCCATGTAATCATACATTTTCCAAAACCATTCTGACATATCTAGAATTTCCACATCTTTCCATTTTTTTGTGTAAATTATTCTGGCAGTAGTTATTATGTTAAAAGAATTTTCGTGTGATTTCCCCCAACTTCTCATCTATTCCTAACAGGTATATTTTAGGATTTTGATTTTTTTGATTTTGGTTCATAGTATCTTGGATATTAACTTGTGGATTCGAGAACAAAATGGCTTTGCTCTTTTTCGCAGCCACATGTGGTATATACACCTAGTATTGTATGTATGCTAAAGACATACAACAAAGCCCGAAAGTTAGAATTGCGCAAGCCATTATATTCCCTATTACGGTACTATGTACAGATGCGAGAGCTGGACAATGAAGACAACGGATAAGAGGAAAATCAATTCATTTGATATGTGGTGCTGGAGAAGAGTGCTGAGAATACCATGGACAGCCAAAAAGACCAAAAAATAGGTCCTGGAACAGATCAAGTCTGAACTCTCTTTGGAAACCAAAGGGGGATGCAGACCAGGGTGTCCAGGACGCCCTGGTCCGGAGCGCCGCGGGGACATGGCAGCCGCACCGCGGCACTCCTGCGGCGACCCTAAAAGGAGTGCCAAATTGGCGCTCCTTTTAGAAGTCAGGGAAAGTGTGCCCTAAACGCATCAGGCGCACTTTCCCTGACTCTTCCGCCGCAGCGCGTGAGGACGCTGCGGCGGGAGGTTGCCCCGGAAGCGACGGCCATGCGGAGGGCCGGCAGCTCCGAGGGCAACCTCAGGAAGATGAAGGGGCGCCGCTTGTGCGGCTGCCCCTCCTCTTCCAGGCCTCGGAGACAACTCTATTAGTCGTCTGCCGAGGCCCCAAGATGATCAAATTTAGGCTGTCGTACTTTGGCAGCATCATGAGAAGGCATGAATTACCGGAAAAAACAATAATGCTGAAAAAGGTAGAAGGCAATAGAAAGAGAAGAAGGCCACATGCTAGATGGATAGACTCTATTAAGGAGGTCATAGGTATGAATTTACAGTACCTAAGCAGAGCAATGGAGGATAGGGAGTCTTGGAGATGTCTCATCCACAGGGTCATCATGAGTTGGGATCAACTCGAGGGTGGTTAAAAGCATTGACAAGAAATAGTATGTTTGGTACATGGGAAGCTGGACAGAAACACAAGAGACATGAGGCTGGAGAGAGACACAGATGAAGAAATCAAAGATATAGCCCTGTTAGTCTGTAGAATCAGTATGTAGAGAGATCTTGTAGCACCTTTGAGACTAAATGAAAGAAAGAAAGAAATTGGAAGCATGAGCTTTTGTAGAGTTCAGTCTACTTCCTCAGATGCAATTAAGACTGAGGCTATGAAAGCTCATGCTGTCAATTTCTTTCTCTCAGTTAGTCTCAAAGGTGCTACAAGATTGCTCTACATACAGATGAAGAAAGACTGAGAATCTGTGAAATAGCGGGAATTGAAGAGTAGTGCAAAAACACACCTCCCAACCATTTCACAGAGCCTCATGTCTCTTTCCAACTTCACATCTCATTTGTTTGCTTCTTGTGTTGTGTACAAGATGCGAGGCTGGAGAGATACTGAGGACTAGAGAGATGAATGGCAGGAGTGCTACTACTGCCGCCCTGAAAACAGATATGGACGACTGGTGGCAAAAAGTTTCGGGTCTTGGAGGTTTTTGGATTTCTAAATTAGGAGTGCCCTACCTGTAGTACACGGAGGGACGAGTGATTCCCGTTTATTCCATATTTTAAAAATAAAGACCACGTTTTTAAAGTAAATAAATAAAATTTTAACTTGGGCAATATGAATACTAATTCTTTTTGTGTCACCTAAATTGTTAAGTCTTCTTTCCTCTGCTCTCTTTTGCACACAATGACACACAACAACCTTTTAACTTGCAGGGACAGCTGGTTGTTTTGAGACACAAATCAGGCTAAATGTGGTTGTCAGGTGCACAAAAGAGTTTCGGGGAGGAAGTGAGCTGGGAAGAGGGAATTCCCCACCCCAAAACGTGTTATATGAGAAGAAGAATTGAAACACTGCAACATCTACACTGATGATATTACTCAAGCAACCAATAAGTGGCAACAC